AGTCGGAACATTTGAGCTCCCCAAAATCCAGTGCCATAGGATTTGGTAGTTTAGAAAATGCTGGTCGTTTGGATGTTTAATTACCTTTTTTGGCTTCTTTACTGAATAAGCTAACAAAGATGACGACCGTGTGAAAGCATTTAACTATATCTTACAAATCTTGTTACAATCGAACGACTAAGTTTTGTTGGCTTGCAAACCATACCAGAGAGTAACTTCTGTTAACTAGAAGTGTTTCCTGCGTAATCAGTAACACAATTCATTGCTTGGTGCACAATAACTACTCACCGAAAACGAAGACGGGCTAGTAGAATGAGAAACTTCTACTATTATATTTAGTCTCCAGGTACCCTCAAATTCCAATGGTTGAACGCTAAGATTGCAAAACTTCGACGCAGGAAACCATCCTTCAAATCGGGAAGAGTACATGAGCCAGCCCGCTAAGTGGATTCAACGGCAGCAATTACAGGTCTACCACCCTAAAATGTCCCCTTGCAGAATGTCCATCATTAGGCAGTAGCAAATGTTGAAGAGGCATGGCTGAACACATAAGTTCCACGTTCACTGCTGCCAGTACCACTTAACTTGTAGGACGGACAGACCAGAATTCTATATGTCTATTCAAAATAAACTACAAAAGGGGATCCGTCAAGCAAACAAAAAACACGCGGAGATTTTTCAAAGACACTATTTCTACCACCTGTTAATAAGTAGACGGTGCAGCTTCCTTCTAGCGCGTTGGCAACATTTATTGCCTCCATGCCTCCACACTGCCCTGCTTTATATCAACCCAGATCCAATTAGTCAAATCTGATGCACCTTCTTCCATATTGTAAGTGATTAGCCACCCACAACAAAAAGCGAGAAATCCCTCTCGTATGTAACCGTATACCTGTACTTTAAAGAGCTACTGCAAAAGTAGTATCATTAAGGATCGGTGGGAACTCGAGGCCGTTTGTTATCCGGTCTTGAAGAAGTTTCTGCTTCCTCCAATTCTCTTTTGGCTGTTCCGGACGCATCGGCCGATTGAGCGGCAGGAGGTGAGATGTTTAGCCAGCTCTTAATTTCAGCATCTACAAAATCAGCATGTATGAAGTCAAAGTTTGTAAAGCATTTTTCAATTTTTCTAAGCGGCACTCCTGTTTCGTCGAGTCTTTCATAGTTCGAAAATAAAGTGACAAGACTGCGTTTTCTATCTTTTCGAAGAATATACTGTGGAGTTCTCCAAATCACTGGCATTCCCTCTCCAAAAGCTGACTGAAGGATTAGGGGATCTCGGGGATTAAACTTAAACTTGACCTTATCCTTGGAAATTTCCAAATCAGAAGGCTGGTAAGGCGGTTGCATCTTGCGGGCAGCCACTTCATCCCATTTGATGTCGCTGAAGAAACTTAAATCCTTCACCTCTTCAATTGATGGACGCACCTCGAAGTTGACTTGAAGGCAGCAACAGAAAAAGAACTGCAGAGATGGCTCCAGAGAATCAAACACTTTTATGCACCATTCGCCTTTCTCTGCAAGTTTATAATCATCCGTATAAATGGGAGCTAATTCTCGAATCGGACCGGATATCATTGCAGCCATGAGGACGGCCATGCTCCAGACATCTGCTTTGGATGAAATGGCCACCTTTTTTGCAACTTCAGGTGCCATATAAAGAGGAGTGCCTGGATCGTCCTTAAATAGAGGAACCCTTAGCCTACGGTAGCGATCGTAAGAAGAGTCAAAATCTGTGATCAGTATGTGGCCCGTATCAGCAAGTAATATGTTTTCCGGTTTGATATCCAAGTGGATGATTTCCTTACTGTGGAGATACTCCAAACCACAGATTACTTCACAAATGTAAAATTGAGCCTCAGAAATTTCTAGGCAGCCATATTCGAATAGGAGATCACAGAGGTCTACACCACTTCCTTTAGTCATTACCAGGACCGGGGATCTGTGAACTCGGAAGCTGTAGTAGAGAGTAGTTAAAAAAGGTGACCGATCAGGCTCCATTGAAATGTGTATAAGTGTTCGCTGTTCCTGAATTGCGCGAATAAGTGCCGAAGCATTTAATATAAAAATTCGTTTTAGCGCATACTTTGCACCTCTATCCCTCTCATTCGTGGAAACTGCGTCATAAATGGTCGAGTAGCATCCATTTCCAATGAATTTCGTTATTTCGAAATCCTTTGGCTCCACCATTGCTTGTGTAAATTAAAAGTAAAGTCAGAGAGGCCATCAGGTTTGCGTCACACGGGCCAATCACCGTTCACCTTGGAGGAGATCAGTTCGCGGCATCTCAGTTAGGTTATGAGACGTAACTGAAGGGATTCGACTTCTGTTCGGCGGTACATCACATCGAAGTTGAGCTTCAGGGAAGTTGTAAATTCACTCACGATAAAATTATACAAGCATTCAACTCTATGCCTTACTACAGCTTCTCGTTAGCACAATTTTGTAAGCAATAAGCTCAACTCCAAAATGTCAACACTACGGTTTCATGTGAAAACGGGATTACCGGAAAACTGGATGTGGTCTTAAGTAGGAGGTGAGTTTAGGGTGAACCGTTAGGCATTTATGTTTAGTGCGGCCAATTTGAATCCTCGAAGTATTTCGGCTTCTTGTATCCATTTGGTTGCAGAGAAGACGATAATGGAAAGGGCTTGGAAAGTATGTTTTCCTGGAACATTTAACAACTCCAAAAGAATCAGGTACTTCGCAGATGACACAAAGCTTGCAATGATCCTAAAGAAGGTGATAAATTAGGACGCATTATAAATGTGGTGTTACTTCGTATCCGTGGGTTAATAAATCTTTCTGATTCTAAAAGAATGATACATTGTTTGCAATAGTACAAATTTTCAAATTTGAGTTGAAAGTGACTCTGCTACTTGTGTATTATAAGAGAACGGTTTATCTGCAAACAGGATTGAGTTTTTTGTCACCAGGGCTAACAAAGAGCATAAACTTA